TCAATGTGCCGAACTTCAAAGGGAAATCGAACAGTACCGTAAAGAGTTCCCGCTCGGGGGAGAGGCAGAGCAGGCATTCGGTGAGATGAAAAGAGTTAAGCAGGCAAAGCATGTTCGACCGAGGAGCCCTTACATTATCTCAATTCCGATGCAAATCAAACTCTGTACATTCAGAGCCTATCAACGGTATGTGCCCGTTGCTTGATCTTTTCGCAGCTTTACATTAAACCCTATTTTGATCTCGATAGGATTTGGAATGATAAGCCTTCTACTCTGACAACGATCATTGGGAGAATTTTCATGGCTCTCATCATTGGCTCCATGTATTTTGGGTGAGTAGTTTGCCTCGTTCTTAGCCTTAGTACAACTTATAACTTTTAAAGGACACCAACTGCCACGGCGGGATTTTATAGTAAAGGAGCCGCTCTCTTCTTTGCTGTTCTGTGCGTATTCCCTTCAACATCATGCCATATATTTGGTTTATTGACCAAAATCGACTTACATCACGGACAATTCAAGTACCCGTACTAACCTCTATGCTCAGAATGAATGCTCTTATCAGTATCACTGAGATTAATTCTCTGTATGACCAACGACCTATCGTTGAAAAGCAAGCCTCCTATGCTTTCGTCCACCCCTTTGCAGAAGCTTTTGGGGGCATCGTGAGCGACATACCCGTCAAATTCGTCTCTGCCATTATTTTCAATATCATATTCTACTTTTTGGCCGGCTTAGTAGGTCATCACCGATCACCTCAAATGCAAGTTACTAACACAGACATATAGAGATATGAGCCGTCTCAGTTTTTCATTTTCTTTCTATTCACATTCCTCAGTACACTTGCCATGTCAGGAATCTTTCGAACCCTGGCAGCAGCAACAAAGACTCTTGCACAAGCAATGGCCATGGCTGGTGTATTGGTTCTAGCAATAGTCATCTATACAGGCTTCGTGATCCCTGTTCCACAAATGCACGACATCCCGTGGTTCAGCTGGATACGATGGATCAATCCTATCTTCTATACCTTTGAGTCAATGATTGCCAATGAATTCCATAGTCGGCAGTTTATATGCTCACAGTTTGTGCCTGCATATCCCAGTCTAAGCGGAGATTCCTTCATCTGCTCCGCCCGAGGTGCTGTTGCGGGAGAAAGAACGGTTTCTGGAGACGCTTTCATTGGATCACAGTATAGATACACATATACACATGAATGGAGAAATCTCGGTATTCTGATCAGTTTCTGGATTTTCTTTACTGCAATCTATCTATTGGCGACTGAAATCAATTCCCAGACTTCTTCGAAAGCAGAATTCTTGGTCTTTCGACGGGGCCATGTGCCAGCCCACATGCGCGACCTTGATAAGACACATGGGGACTCTGGATCTACGGAAGTCACTCAGGCACATAAAGAAAGGGAAACCGATAATTCCGCATCTGTTATACCGAAACAGCAGAGCATATTCACATGGCGAAATGTGTGTTATGATATCCCCGTCAAAGGAGGCGAACGGCGTCTGCTAGACAACGTTTCAGGATGGGTTAAGCCCGGTACTCTCACAGCTTTGATGGGAGTTTCAGGAGCTGGTAAAACAACACTGCTAGACGTTCTCGCAAAACGTGTTTCCATTGGTGTTGTGACGGGAGATATGTTGGTAGACGGGAAAAGCCTCGACACTAGTTTCCAAAGGAAAACAGGGTACGTGCAGCAGCAAGACCTTCACCTGGCCACTACAACTGTGAGAGAAGCACTACGGTTCAGCGCACTCCTACGTCAACCAAAGTCGGTTTCGAGGAAAGAGAAATACGAATATGTCGAGGAAGTCATAGAGATGCTCAATATGCAGGATTTTTCTAGCGCTATTGTCGGGACTCCGGGTGAAGGACTGAATGTTGAGCAGAGAAAGCTGTTGACAGTTGGCGTTGAGCTGGCTGCAAAGCCTGCATTGCTAATCTTTCTTGATGAGCCAACAAGTGGTCTGGACTCGCAGAGTTCCTGGTCTATTATTGCCTTCTTGCGCAAACTTGCAGACCACGGACAAGCAGTGCTTTCCACTATTCACCAGCCAAGTGCGCTTTTATTCCAGCAGTTTGACCGTTTACTGTTCCTGGCAAAGGGAGGCAAAACCGTCTATTTTGGAGAAATCGGTGACCAGTCTCGCACTTTACTTGAATATTTTGAAGGCAGGGGAGCAAGGACCTGTGGCTCTGAGGAAAACGTAAGTATAAGCTCGCAACTTTGGTTGAACCTATACTAACATTCACAAGCCTGCTGAGTATATGCTTGAGATCATCGGGGCAGGCGCCTCTGGTAAAGCATCCAAGGACTGGTCTAATGAGTGGAACGAGAGTCAGCAAGCCAGGGATGTCCAGAAGGAGATTGACAGAATTCACCAGGAGAGGGCTTCTTCTTCCAACGACAACGGCGACACTCAGCAAGATGAGCATGCGGAGTACGCCATGCCATTTACGTACCAGCTGTGGTACGTAACTCATCGTGTCTTCCAGCAGTATTGGCGTGAGCCTGCCTATGTATGGGCCAAGGTCCTTCTTGCCATCCTCTCGGCACTGTTCATTGGCTTCACATTCTTCAAGCCGAATAGCTCTCAGCAGGGTTTTCAAGATATCTTGTTTAGTGCTTTCATGCTTACCTCCATTTTCTCGACCTTGGTGCAACAGTATGTGATATTCCCATCTCTATATGTCTCTTCAAGCTAACGCAGGGATCAGAATCATGCCCAAATTCGTTGTCCAACGATCTCTGTACGAGGTGAGAGAACGACCATCGAAGGCATATTCATGGGCAGCCTTCCTCATCGCCAACGTGATAGTCGAGGTTCCTTACCAAGTATTCGCCGGGATTGTCTCATGGGCATGCTACTACTACCCAATTTACGGCGCCAATCAAGCTTCTCAACGACAAGGCCTCATGTTACTCTTCATCATACAGTTCTACGTGTTCACCTCGACTTTCGCAACTTTCATTATCTCCGCTTTGCCCGACGCTGAGACAGGAGGAACCATCGCAACACTACTATTCATCATGGCCACGACATTCAACGGAGTCATGCAGCCCCCCAATGCTCTGCCAGGATTCTGGATCTTCATGTACAGAGTCTCGCCCTTAACATACTTAATCGCAGGCATGACAGCGACAGGTTTACACGACCGACCAATCCGATGCGACACGGCCGAACTAAGCGTCTTCAACCCTCCCTCCGGCTCAACCTGTGGTGACTACATGGCCCAGTATCTCCAAGTCGCCCCAGGCGTGCTGTACAACCCCACCGCAACGCAAGGATGCGAGTACTGTCAGCTTCGTAACGCCGACCAATACCTGGCCGGTAGTAATATCTGTACGTAACAACTGGTAACTTAACTTACCTTGTCCTTCGCACATGACTAACTAGATATTTAGATTGGAGCGAGAGGTGGCGAAATTTCGGACTGGGCTGGGCGTACATCGGGTTCAACGTCATGGGGACTGTTGCTTTGTATTACCTCTTTCGGGTCAAGCATTATAACCCCACTAGCTTGGTGAGGGGTATTGGGCAGGGTGCGAAGTTGCTTTGTCGGGTGTTTAAGAGGCGTTCTGGGGAGACACCTAAGGGACGGGAGGCGGAGAATGGGAGGTTGGTCTGATTTGTCTGGTCTAGTGGTGTTTGTCTTGGGGGAATGTGGGCGTTGGAAATATATGTCCCATCAATGGACAGCAAAGTATGTTGTTTATTGCTTTAGATGTGATTTAAAGATAATTGTGTCGTGGTTTTGATTTAGTTATACTTTGCATGATAACTGTTAGGTGTAACGGTTATATTCTTTCACTAAGTGTAGAAGCAACTAACAATAATGCTAAAATGACTTATAACTGAATGATATGATTTTTCCAGAAGCTTGGTCAAACTACTGAACAGTGAATGAGGTCCTAATATATGGAATCCTCATACAAAAAACCTTACAAACATGCAAAAATAGAAACCTTGATACTTATATTACCTACCTAACTAGAAAACACTCGGTTCTTAAATTAACCCATCTACCAACTGATTACTTAATTACTGAAACGCTTGTTTTCTAGGTTGTATACCGAGTAGATATATTAGTTGATAGACTATCGAATAGACCAAGTGGATAAAATACTTGGACTATTTTAGAAAACATATAGATAGGGGTGAGGAATATATCTAAATCATTGAAATTAATGTAAATATTTAGTGAGCCTACTAAACGAGCCTTGCAATCAATCTGTGTTTCCAATAGCACTGACGCCCCTAGATACCTAGATATATATAATGTTGTGTCCTATCACACTACACCACATTCACCATCCAGGGACCAGAATTAGCATAGGGACTATATCAAATCAGGCTTGAAGACTCCCACACATAGCGCCATCGGACTTCTTCCACAGTAATCGGATAATGGTTCAGCCAAGGACCCGTAAACTACACCACTTTATGCATACCTAGGTATACTTGGGGTACTTGGGGTGCTTGACCATCGCAAAACACCGCATAATATATGACCACGTCAGTGATTCTAGAGTATATGTCCTAATATCAGCTCTCTCAAACCGCTTGGGGGCGGCGGCGCAGTAGGCTCTATATTGACATGACTCTTTAATGATAGACCGGACTTTCCATATCGTAGGGCTGGCTGCAAAGGCGTTGAAAGACCGTGTGATCAGACTAAAATGGTGGAGACAAGAATGTACTGTCCTGAACGACTATCTATGCTGTGGAACATGAACACAATAGTAATAGAAAAAAATCACTTACTTTATCCACCATTCCTTTACCTACATCGATTTCGTAGGTCTGCTTAGATACTGGATGGTCTGCATGCATTGAGAGCTGCAAAAAATATTTGACAAGGTTGGAACACTATGTATACAGGTCACATGAAGTGTTACTGAGTTAGCTGCAAATATATCAATCAATCCAGTTAGTTACCAGCTCTCTAGAAGAGAAAATAAAAATTAAAAAGGAATCAATGAGTTAAAATGACAAGGGTGGGATTCGAACCCACGCCAAATTAATGACACGGAAGTTGTTCTTCAAATTGAAACCTGAACCGTGCGCCTTAGACCACTCGGCCACCTTGCCATAAGTAACAATAATGTGTTTTTTCTATTTTGAAGTGCTTACCCAAAATTAAGGATTTTGCTAATCTTCTATCCCTGCATTTGCTGGGACTAGACAGCTTCCGCCTATACCACGACATTTATATACCCAATAACGTTGCTGATAAAGATCGTCGAGTCGAGGGTAGTTCCCCAAATGTATTTCCTTTGGGTACAGCAGATATACTATTCGCAGGACTATGTTGTTTATACGCCATAGGCATTCATTAACCTGGTAACGAGGGGAACGCCCGTACGCTTTCTATGGGGTATGATAATGCTGCTCTACGATAAAACAATAACATACAGATGTTCTTAATCCCACTGTGGCTAAAGTAATGTACACTTGAGTATACCGGAACACATTCGATGCATCACCCAACGTGGCCGAGCCCTAGGTAATTGTTCCCATACTTCCTACGTATTCTCATCTTCCCCCTCCCAGAGGTCCCCCAGCCTCTAAAACCAACCCCTCTGGCACCCGCCACGGTCTGGATTATTTTGTGCTATGGATGCCTCGCTCACATTCCATGAGGCTAGATCATCCACTGGAATTGTTCCTCTAGGTAATCCGCGGCGGCGCTCCGTTTTTTTACTATATAGAATCTATACCTCATGAAACAAATTTTTTACAGTTTTTCTAAAAATGTAGAAAATGCACATGTAGCAGATTATAAATCCTACTAGTTTGACTTCCAGCATCATTGGTCTAGTGGTAGAATTCATCGTTGCCATCGATGAGGCCCGTGTTCGATTCACGGATGATGCAATCAACAACTTTTTGCGTTTTTTGGTCTCGCGTCCGTCAGTCAATTATTCTGTCTCGTTCCAATGCTTTGGCTTATTATAGAATGTGTATGCCCCTACGTTACACCCCTGAAAACAGAGAACTGCATGGATACGGCTCAACTTAACGATGAGATACCATACAGGTATTTGTTTTCGATTAATTCAACTATTCATACAAGTTATTGTACTGTTGCCGAGTAGTTAATATGGCGTATCACCGAATCAAGGAATATGTATTACCAGTCAAAACGAATAGGCACCGGAAACATAGAAGGGTTATAGACGTGATAACGTTATCGACCACCGAGCCGGCCACACACCCCAGCCGGCCAACGCTGTATTGCATACTAAATGGCACATTTATTTTTCTGATAACTCAACAACAAATTATGTAGAAAGCTGCGAACTTTATAATAGAAGTAATATGATACTAAACTTATATATACTAAGCAGACAGCCTTTTAAGATGAGAGTATCTCTATATAAAATATATCAGGACTGTATTTTATAGAATTCGGCGTTACAGCGTAAAAAGAAATTTTTAAAAATTCTAATAGAAATTATTACATAGCTTAAGTTAGATAGATTTATATACTGCTACATAATATAAGCTTGTCAAGTATCTTGATTGTTGAGATATCCATAATCTCAAAAGTGTCATTTTGTATACAATACAGCGTTGGCCGGCTGGGGTGTGTGGCCGGCTCGGTGGTTGATAACGTTAGTGAAAATAAGCTAATATAAAAAGCAAAAATGGGTATTATGCACATTAAACAATATACTAGGGAAATGTCGTAACGGTGGCAGTCGTTAAATACTCGAAAAAACGCTAGGAACTTAATCGGAGAGATTTCCAGGAGAGCTGTTTTATTGCGGTCGTCGTGCGGCAACCAAAGCGTTAATCACATGGCCCGGCTTCCAGCCCTGGTCGACTAGGGGCGCCTGCTCGTTGAGGATTTTGCCTAAATAGGCAATTCTTACTCGATGGGTTTTTGGAATCTGGACTCGAGTCAGTTATCAAGATGTACCTTGTACCCGGATCAAGTGAGCGTACCTCAGCTTCCTGCTGCAGCTTGCGAGCTATAAAGCTAACGGCCTGGGTTTTCCCAACGGTGACGATCGTGTCAGGACCGCCTCTATCGCTCAGTCGTGCTTTCACCCGGATCAAGTCTCGCTCGCTGATCTTTCCCTTCTCATCTCTGCGACGTTCGATATCATCCGCGATTAGCTCATCCCCTGACTCTTCATCCAGAGATAATTTGTCGTCGTCGGTATCGAAGTCGTCCTCCGCTAGACTCGGTTGCACCATGTTCTCCGGGTTACCTACGATACACTGTGGTAGCCGATAGAGAACCCCCTGCTCATCGTAGCAGCCCTGACAGAGATCGCCCGTCGGAACCGTAACACCAGCCGCATCAATGATACCCTGGGCCGTGGCAAGCTCACCGGCCTGCATGAGCGAGATTGCTGACGACAGCGCAGCCCATATCTCAGACCGACCCGTCACCCGCGTTTCGAAGAACTCCTTGCGCTCCTGCTCCAGCTGCGCACGGGTCCACAGTCGGCGCTTGCTATACCAGACATGACGGCGAATCGGGGCATTGAAATGCTCATTCAGCGGGAGATGATCGGGGGATGAGCGGATGACGACGCGCGCAGAGTTCGAAGGGACCGCTGCTGTGGTTGTTGTATTTGCTGCGCGCGAGGATGCCTGCGGACGCCGTTCTTCGGTGGCGTTTTGGGTTGTATATGTTGAGCGGTTATCGTCACGCGAAATGGACAAGCAACAACCCTTTATCAGCAAGGTCAGGATAGAGTTGTTAAAATGGGTTGAGAAGGAGGGGGTGGGAATCTGCAAGGATGGTGCTTCTCTTGGGGATTGCGGACATGTCCAATCATGGGTGCCAATCAATGGAGATTGATAACGATCAGTGGGGGGAGACGGTTACATACCATTTTGTAGATATGGTTGACCGGACTCCATCAGCCGAATGATATATATGAAAAAGTAATGAGATACCTTCCAAAAGGTCCTCAAAATGATGTATAAGGACCGAGTAGAGGCACAGTGCGGAGGATTCAAATCGAGCGATGATGTCGCAAGTCGCGTGTACTAAAAGTAATGGACGTATGTTCCTGAGTGGGAATCGTATGACTGGCGAATTAACGGTTTAATGGCCAAGGGTCGAGAACCATGGTATGACGTTATGGACCGATAAGAATTCTAGTGGGAGAGGCGATGATCACGAAGGAATGAAACAAAGGAAAATAGAGGAACAAGAAGGGGGAAAAGAAGGAGGAGGGAACGAGAAAGAGAGAGAAGAGAAAAAGGTAATCCGAGGAGGGGAAAAGAAGTTCAATTAATGGCTTGATTGATTGAGTGAGAGGAGAAAGAAAAGAGAAAGAAAAGGAAGCGTAAGAGGCATACGTATGAATTACTCCGTAACTCCGTATACTTTACTCGAAATCCACCCGCTAAAATTACCTAGAGAAGAAAAATGGTTCGCTGTGAAAATTAAGTAAAAAGCTTATGCTTAGTACGGAGGATATATGAGATTCGACTATTGCTTTGTTATCCTGCTTGGACCCTCTCCATTGATTCAATTGACCGCTGGTTCTAGAGAATATCCATCAACGTTTAATCTGCTTTCTCAGACTTCCAGACCGATGTTTCAATGCTGTTTGTTGCTCTGGTGCATCCATGGGAAATAGTAGTTCGTTCTGCAGGTCTCCACATGGGAAACAACCCACGTCGTTTTGCCCGTTGCGGTATTGGCTTTGTTCCCACTCGTGGGGATCGGATGTGATTTGTTTTCTCAATAGATTGTTCTTGTTGTCACGAGGTTCAGCCTCCAAGACTTGCAGAGCCATCATCAATCTTTCAACTCTGAGGTGGGCCATGTTTCTTCTACTTATCTTTTTTCGAAAGTATGCATACTAAGACCCCTCCGAATAAAATACATTATGTAGTATCTATCAACTAAGTCTCATCGTCCTCATCGTCACTCCCGAAGATCGCCTTGAAGATCTCTTCGCCCGGCCGCTCTGCCTCCAACGCTTCGTTGCGCTCAGGCTCCACTACAATCGGCTTAGGTTTTTCTGCGGCGCCACTGCTAGCGCCAGCGTCATGCAAAAGCTGAATCATAACTTCCTGCGGTACTAATTCTTTGGGTCCAGCAGTCTGATATCCTGCGGGTTGGAATCGTCCACCAGAATGGGGCTCTGAACGTCCTGCCGCGTCGCTGGGATCCGATTGTACATGGTCGGGAGGCTTTACGTTAAACCGCTTGCACAATAGACGCGTTGGATAGAACGAAGTATTGCTCCGAGTCATCGGTCCAAACATACCGATCTTTGCGGCTGCTACGGCAGGGTCTTCGGGCTTCTGCGCAGGCTTCTGAAGCAACGGATCCGCCGTATATGAATCAACCTCATCTGTTGAGCGTTTAGGCCCACTGGAGGCAGACGTGAATCGCGACGCCATGGTTCCAGACATCGGCTTGAAGACCTCCGCAGCGCGAGTGAACTCGTAAAGCTCTGCAACCCATTCATCAGTGCTTGACCCAGGAACCCGATCTGGGAAACTGTCCCGAAGTCCAGCCCGTAATTCAAGGAATGTTCGATAGCGGGATCGCTTGTCTGAGTCTTCGGAGTAAGGCATCCAACCATTAGCCGCCCTGGTCAAAGCCTGAACTGCCACCTGTTTATCCAACTTTGGAACAAGATCCCAAAGATCTTTCCGCTTCTGGGCTTCCGATATTTCATATCCTTCAGGGGCTTTCTCGCTCAAAGCCGGTGGCAGATCAGTCTTTCCTGTTAGCTTCACGATCCTCTCCCTAGCCTCAGGGGTCATCCAGTCAAATACAGATTTTCCGGGAAGTTGAACTTCCCCTAGAAGCGCAGCCCGAGACGTGGGGTCGAGCGACGAAGCCTTGGCTGCCTCTGCTGTAGAAACATAATTAGATATGTCCCTGTCTTTTGAAGGGGTCTTGCTGGAAGTCCAATCTTTGGGAATCTCTGGGGGCGCATATTTCTTTTCCTGAGATGAAATTGTGAGGTTAGGGATACTGTCAACCAGCAGAAACCCTTCCAAGGGCAAACGGCCATCGTAGCATTTTCTGAATCCGGAGTTTTTAGTAGCAATTGTTTTCTTGGATATGAAAACTGGCTTATTGTTTAATAGGGGGTTGGCCG